CTTAAAAGGCAATAACATCCAAAATGCTTTGAGCATATGGATGTAAAATACATGGGTTTTTCCTCTCCATTTTTAAAAGCATATAAATTATGCTGTGCAGATAAATGTTGAACGTGCGTGTCTAACTGAAGAATGAGTGTTGGATTCTTTTTTCAGAGTTTACTTAATACCCTATAAAGCAGGTTTTAAATTGAAGAGACTAGAGCCATAACTGAACAGAATCTGCTAGAGCAAGGATTAAAAGTGTGAGGCACTGGAATGAGAGGTTACTGCATCTGGCCAATTAAAAAAGTGGGTATCTGCACAGTATATCTGCATAATGACATTAATAAACATTTGACACTGAATCAGATTAATTCCCCTCCTCCCACAAAATGACATTCTGTATTTTTAAAGCATCTCCTGTTCCATCTGTGCTCCTACAAGGACTAATAGGCATCTCGAATGAAGTCTGACTGACTTGTAAATGGTTGCTTAAAAATTAACTGTATCCACCAGTTGTCACTGATATTTTAAAACCAAATTGACAGGATTCAATATCCAATTTACTTTCAAGAAAGAAGAACTGCATTATAAGCATAAACATGTGGCTGATTATTACATAGCATGACAGTCTGATGTTAATAACTTTAATTATTGTAACCAGATTTGTCAAAAAACAAAACAAAACAAAGGCCTTGTGGGCATCTCAGAAGATGTCTTCCTTTACAGAGAAAAAGTAATTAAATATATTCAGTAGTTAAATGAACAGGTAAAGAACAAGAAGACCCCTGGATATTGAAATTTTACAGTAGGTCAGCACATTGCTTTCTTTTGCAAAAATATTAACTGCTGCCCCAATCTGGATTATTGGATTACTGGATTACTGCTACCCAAGTAAATCAGGCACTTGGAACTTCCTATGCCCACTTAGGTGATGGAATTCTGGACACCTATGGGCATACTTTTATTTATTGCATTTGAACTTCACTTTTCCTCTGAAATGGAGCTCCTGGTGGTACACACACTTTTTCTCCAGACATCTGTCAACCAATAAGGTGACTACTTAATGTACGCATAGAAACGATGAAATGCATCTTCCTCAAAAAGAGGACACCGATTTTCTTCTGTGCAGGTAATACCGTATATATATAGATGCTAATTTTGAATGCAAATCTTTCTAAATATTCATCTTTAGATATGCAACTTACCTCACATAGTGAGGAAGTCTGTGACCAGGTGCTATTGATTGGAAACTTCAGAGGCCCATGTCCTCCCTTCTTATGGTTGCTTATCTTTAAATTGGGTGTGGACTAGATAGGACTAGACAGCCCTTTGGACAGAGGGCTGTCCTGTGCACAGTAGAACACACAGGGAAAGGATCCTAATCTATTTATTCTGCACTAGTGGAAATAGGAGCTTGTGTAATGTTAATAGTACATAGCATGTTGGATTTCCTGGGAGACCTGTCACACTAACAAATCTTGCTGGGGTTGTGCAAGCACTGATTTCCACTAATGCATGTAACTACTGTTAGTGTTCCAACATCTTTGGATCATTCGCATTGTCACCTTATCATCTAGGTGGCATTCAAGCCAGGCCTTGAATTCTGTTTGCTGGAGAGGGAAAGGGGAGGTGTAACCCTGTTGACCTCTCAGGGGGTTTTGATACCATCAGCCATGGTATCTTACCGGATAGATTGTCCATGTTGGGAGCTGGATTACTGCATTGTAATAGTTCTGCTCTTCACTGGATGGCCAATTCCAGAAGGTGGTGCTGGGAGTTTATTGTATTGTGCCTTGGTGGCTTTGCTGTGGAGTTCCACAACACTTTAGTCTATCTCCAGTGCCATTCAATATTTATATGAAACTGCTGGGAGAGGTTTGCCTAAGGTTTGGGCTGAGATGTCCTATGTGGATCCCTGCCCTACACACACTCACGCGCGCGCACACACACACACACACACACACACACACTAGATTATTCATCAAATCCAGGTGAGGCCGTGTCTGGCCTGAATCAGTGTCTGGGTACAATTGATTGGCTAAGGGCCAATAAATTGAGACTCAACCCAGACAGGATGGAGGCATTGTCAGTGTGTGCTCATTTTGTCCAGCTAAATGATATTAAACCTGTTCCAGAGCAGGTTGTACTGTCCCTTAAAGGATCAAGTTCAAAGTCTGGGAGGCATGGATGGACTTGGTCACATGGAGCACTTTTTATCTGCTTTGACTGCTGTACCAACTACATCCTTATCCAGAAAGAACTAATTTACCTACAGTTATCCATGCTCTGCTGACCTCTCATCTAGATTACTGCAATGTGCCATGTTGGGAAAATCCAAATAAATCTTTGTAGAGAAAAGTTACTTTTGTGTGCTTTTTGATACAAAATCAAACTGCAGTGTCCCTGCTCCTCTTGCCCAGAAAGAACTAGAACTTTTGGCCAAGCTCCACACACCTGGGAAAAGCAGGCAGCCCTGGAGGCTCCAGTATTCATGCATTTCTTCCCAGAATCGGACAAGCCACTGGGGAAACTGGGCTTCCTTTCCAATGTAAAAATACCTAGGCAGCCCACCTTTTCTTTAAGGAATTCTGTATCTCTGATTGCAAAAACCACGACATTTTAAACTTGTTAGATTTCTGTAACTTCTGATTGTTATCTATTACCCAAGCCTTCAGTGATGTTTTTCCTGATGCCTGTAATGATTCCTCAATGTTTCTATGTTATTCCCCATTGTCCTCACCTTCTTACCCGTTCAGAATTTCATCACTGCCTTGAAACTGTGACTCACAACTTATAAAAAACTCTGTCTGTTCTCTGGAAGCTTGTAGTTGGTGGACATAACTCCACCTGACAGTGTTGTTGTAAGTTTGGTCTCTGCAGAGGGGTTTTCTCACCAGTAAAACTGCTGAGGGTCAAGGTGAGGGCATCTCCATGTGGGTCCAAGCGTACATTCTCACGGGCTGCTAAACCAGGATTTCCTGACAGTTCTATATGGTCAGTGCATTCATATTATAGCAGAACTTTTTCATGTGTGCTGGATACTGGCTCACTTCTGGGTCCAAGTGATGCCATTCAGAACTTTAAATGGCTTGGAGATAGGATGAAGGATTGCCTCCCCTCCCCCCATATATATCCAAGGACCCAAGATGGTCCTAGGAGCCCTGCTGGAAAAAATGAGGCAGGTGGCTGCATTTTCTGTTTGGGCACCACAATTTAGGACTCAGTTTCCCAAAAAGCCTCTCTTGGTACCTCTGCTGTGCTCTTTCCAGTACCAAGTGAAGGTCATCCTATTTTCTCAGTCATTTTAATCTTTCAGTTTCCCTTGTTTTACATCTCACAACGTATTTTCAATCTTTGATGTTGTTGGGGAAGAGATCCAAATAAATCACATTGAAAAGAGAAGGTGCTTGGTCTGTTTTGTTTAAACCTAATATGATTTTTAGAATCCATGTTGAGAAGCAGAAGGAAGCTGCCAGAAGCCTCTCCCCATGCTGCCAAGACTGACAAGCCACTGGCTAAAAAAAACAGGGAAATTACAATGTTCTATTCAACTATTGCCCTGCAATACAAAGTAATCCTTGAGGAATTCATAGTTTTTGCAAGAACTATCAAGTTATCAAGGCTCACATGGCTGATGCACCACAGCCAATCAGAGCACAAGGATGTGCAACTTTGTAACAAGCTCCTCCCCTCTAGTGGAGCACGGCAGCTGAGCTCAGTTTTCATGAATGGTATCCCAACTGCTCGCATTTACGTGTTTAAACAGACACGAAGATCGGTTTAAGTTTCAGAAATGTATTCAATCAAAATGTCAGTGCGCTGCAATCAGTAATATTTTCCATTCTACTGTAACATACATAGCTGGTTGATTTGTGTTTATTCTGTATATGCTGACATCAGATTGCCATTGTACTGTCATTATTGTGTCATCAACTACTCTGTACCCACATACGTGATTAGGAGGTTATAAAATACTTTGTACATGTTTTGGAAGTTTGTAGCTGGTTTGGCTCTACCCAGCATCACTGTTGTAAGTTTGGGTTCTCTGCAGAGGGTACCTGAGTGATCTTTCAATAAACTGCTGAGGTTCAAAGTGAAAGAGGTCAAGATGCCCTGACACTAGCTTTTATACTCTAGTTTCACACTCTAAACTTTTATATTGTTCCTTACCATGTTGTAGTCCAAGTTTCTACTTATTGTGAACAACATAGAGACTTTTGACTATTAGGCAGTATGGAAATGTAAATAAATCTCCTCCTCTGGAGTTAAATTGAACAACCTTCAGCCATAAGAGATCTGTGTGCACAAGAGGTTGTAGAAATGCAGAGGTCACCCTTGAGGTCTGTCAGCACCAGTTTGGAAAGATGGAAGCAGTAGTGACCCACGAGCAAGGGTTTTATTGCAAAAAAAATGGTATAAGCATTTCTTGAAAAATGTAATATAAAGATTGATCCTAAAACAGGCTGTATCACTGCCAAAGGATGGGGAATATGAATGACCACATATCAAAGATGTCATTTTACCTGTACTGCATGCAAAAACTGTGTCTCGGATTATTATTAAAGTGCTATATAAATAATAATTAATCAACCAGTCAAAATTACACCTAGGCTTTGAAGGTACATAAATCAAATCTGGTCTAATAGCTTTGGAAGTGCTTGTTTGTGAGAGTGTTCTACATCTCAGTATTTCTATCATTTTTAAAAAGCATGATATTAATAGCATTTCAATTGTTAGCATTTTAAATTAAAGAGAGTCTACACGAAAGAATGGAAATTATATGTCTGTTTATTTTCATCATCTCACTCGCAGCTTTTTTTTGAAGATGACCAGCCTATAGCAGGATCAGTAAATCAAGGTGGATGTCAGAGAGGAAAATAAACACGAGAGTGCTTTTCTTTAAAAATATCTCTATCTGTGGATAGATTATAGCCCCAATTGGTTGTATTACTGCCTTGTTTCAGAGCATACTTGTGCTCATGTACTTTGTTTTTGTCTTTCTTCTCATTCCTTAGGTTGAAGGCAAAGGCTTAATGAACCCCTTCCATGCACCCAAAGGAAAAGTTCCATCAAGTCCCAGAAATGGCCCTTCTTCCCAGTACATTGGGTGGCGAGTTGCTACTGCCATGTGCCATCATTTCTTGCCACCCATTGGCCCAGACATCCCCTTACCACGCCAGCCAGTGCGGAAGCCATCCTTGACGCCACATCTAGAATCGGAGCCAGGGGTTAAGGAGAAGAAAGCAAAACGTCTGTCTTTAAGGTACAGATTTCCTAGGCTTATATCATGCTATGTGATTCGCTTAAATTTTCTTTTAATCCTTCCTGCATCCATCATTCCCTTGTCTGATAACATTGGGGAAAATTTTGTGGGGGAAATCAGTCTGGATCAGATCTTTTGGATGAAATGGTCATTTGTCTCCTTTGCATACTTCTCTCTCTATCATGTCACCTGGCCACATGATTACTGAGTTTTAAAATAAGCCTTTCGATAAAGAAACATCTGGTGCAGCAGTGTCATAAGATTAAAGCCTTGTGAATTTCTTTTGAGTCAGGTGCTCTAGCAAGTCAGTTCACATTAAAGGCAACTGGTAATCAAAGAAAAATGAGATTGCTGAAGGGTACACATTGGGTGTAAATGCAGCCTTCATGGCACAAGTCTGCAGTTTTGCCATATCTCAAAACAGAGGTTCTGTCAGAGTACTGGGTTCTTTAGGGGATAAACTGTAATGATTCCATCCATCCTGCTTGGCTGCCACATAGGCCTGGAACACCCTCCCAGGTCATTTGGGATGGTAAACCTATGGCCTTTAGAGGTTGCTGCACTCCAGTTCCCATCAGACTCAGCCAGCTTCATTGATGATCAAAGATGATGGGAGCTGGAGTCCAATAACATCTGGAGGGCCATGAATTCCTCAACATTGATAGCATGGTACCTTGTCTCTCTCTAGGTTGGTTCACATGTCACAGTAAGCTATTTTGAGAACAAGCTGACATTGATTGGTTATTGAATTGCTAAGCCAGTCTGCTGCTGAAAGGCAGAGGCTTCAGAGACTTGTCATGGCTTGTTTCCAGCTTGCCCTCTCACTGTTCCCTGCACATATCCCAGGGGCCTTTGCAGCATAACTCCTCTATATGCCTGATGAAATTAGTTTCTTTCCCTTCCCTCTCTTTTGTGCCTTCCAAAGCACCTGCATTGTCATATCCATGTCATACCTCAGAGCAGAATGGGAAGAGCCTACCTTTTCAGAACAAGGTGGCTGGGGGCTTTATTTATTTTCTTTCAGTAACACTTAAATCCCCCTGCTTGGTTGCTCTTCGTGGGCTGTTCCTCTTGCTAGAACATCCATGTGTGTGCATGATGGACTTACTTGTGCCCCCACTTCAGGACGTTGGTGATTCAGGAGGGGGGCTACATTTTCATGTCTCCTGTTTTCATGCTAAAATCCCACTCCACCACCACCACCACCATCAGTACATCCCTCTTTTCTTTCTCTTGCAAGAAACCTACAACTTACAATGTTCCCTTTCTTTCCATCTTATCCTCACAACAGCAACCCTGTAAAGTAGAGTAGACTGAGAGTAGTTGATTTGTCCAAAGTCACCCAATGGGCTTCATGGTCATGTGGGGTCTAGAATTCAAATGTCTTCAGTCCCAGTCCAGCACTTTAAGCTCTGCACCACAGAGAGACTAAACGAGACAGACTGCTTTTTCTTGTCTTAACCATGCCCCATGAGGGAAGGGACTTCAATTCCTCCTCCCAACTTTCCAAAGTCCTAAACGGGGGGCATGTACACTTACAAATGCTGTGCAAATAGTGTATAGCTGCACTGCTTCAGCTTACAGAGATGAAGCCGAGTGACTGTCAAGTGCAATGCAGAGCTAGAGGAGGAGAAAGCCTGAGGAGGAGGGATGCCTCAGCAGCCCTTTTAGATGAGCAGTGCATATCTTACCCTGACGGGTTGGGACTTCATGGCAAGCCAATATTGGAGATTTCTTTTTACCCCCTTGAAAAAAGTGTGATGGGCAAAAAGCCTCAGTGGCTCCAAAATGGCTTACAAGCAAAGTGGAGAGTGCCTGATGCCTCCAAGTTCTGCTTGGGCACTGGAGTGACTGGCACTTGCCAAGAGTGCACTGGCAATAATGCCAAGGCGTTTTTGCTGCTCCTTTTGAGAGAATCATTGGCTGGTTCCTGTACTCACTATGCGGTTGATCATCTGGGACAGCATGACAACCCATCATGGAGACAACAACCCCTACATGGCTTGTCCAGGTGGCTTGTTGTCCTGTGTGGAAACATGACCAACCATGATGGGTTCCAACCCATTATGGGTTGCTGTGTTGTAAGAACCCAGTCAGTTTCTTTTGCTCTCTCCCTCTCCTCCATAAAGCACCAGTTCAGGAAGCATCCTTACTGTGAGGTCTTACTGGATTACACTCAGGACAGGGACCTTTCTTTTATTTACGCTACTTGGTCACTGCCACATGCACTGTTTCCACTATATAAACTATTAATAATAATGCAACGTATTTCGTTAGTAGTTTTGTCCTCTCTCTCTTCCCATATTTAGACTCTAAACCTTTTTCCTCTTTGCAAGGCTGACTCTAAATGGTGAATATGACACATTTTAGAAGCCTAGAGTTGCTTTTGGTTGACTTAATGAGCCATCCTGACTACTGCGAATGAACAAGCCATTAGGTGCATGGATGAAGCGGAATCTGTGAGAGATGATAGGGCAGATACAATGGCAGACTTGATCATGTGGTATGTCGGTAACAGTTATGTTGAAGTTTCTCAGTATTAATGCTTAGCATTTTTATAGCTCTTTAGAGCATATCAGAACACAGAATGTTCATTTTCTCTTTATCTTCGAAGAACAACAACAACAGTGTAAGAGAGGTCAATATTGTTATCTCTACATCACAGGGGAAGACTAAGAATGACCTGCATAATAAGGCTACATGGTCAGATCACGATTGAAGCATGGTTTGAATCAACAACTTCCTAGTTCACACCTCAGTCTTTTAGTCATTTCTGTGGTGCCACTTTTAGTCATTTCTGTGGTGAAATATACACATCGTATGCATTGCAGAATTATACCCTTTGGCTTAAAAAGAATTGAATGAAAAATGGATGCAGAGTGTAGCATCAGATAGAATAGTGCAATATGACCCAAGGACTTAAAAATTGTTCTCGCTATGATCAATATTCTTGACAGCATGTGCTTTTTTCAGGGAACAGCTGATAGACCAACAAGGAATAATAGGAAGGAGAAGGAAAGGAGATGAGATAGTTAAATATGAGATAAATGTCATCTCCTGAAGTCAGATAAACAATATTAACCCTTTTAAAGAAGGCTGGTTTGGTTCTTCTTTGATGCTGTCTAAAGGGTCTAGCATGCTAGTGTGTATGACACACATGCTTTAGCTACGCTCCCTTTTGGCCATGGTGATTTTTATATGCCAGCTGGAGATCCTGCCAACTGTGCAAATAAACTCTGTAGAGAAAACCCAGGAGAAGCCAATAGAATTATACTTAGTTACCACAAACAAGTATCTGGCCCAGTGGTCTAGCTATCCTAAGTACTCCAATAATGTCTTAATGAAGAAGTAACATGCATTTTATAATATACTTCAGATTAGCTCTTATGAAATGCAGTGCCTGGGAATACAGAACAGAATGAAAATTGCCTATATGAAATGGGAGATGAGATTGCTGTATTTCATGGACTTTAACCACCTTCTCAGTGAAGTGAAAGACAGATTAACTTTCTGATTCCCTCTCTCCCCTGATGAATTATACTATAGGCTAGGAAAAACAGAAAGTCTCTGCCAAAGAACTGAACTGAGACATTCTGCTCATGAGACGTCCCTCAAATTGCAAAAATACCACTGTGTGCATCAAGCCTTTATATTACAGTCTTCTTTAAAAAAAACCCCCAAACTTTGCTTGTTCATCCTTTCATTTTTACCATAATTTGGTTTAGTTTCCCTTTTACCATGCATCTAGAAATCTGATTTCATCCCTTACTTCTGCCGTGCTACATTGGTATACAGACACAATTTGGGGCCAGCTATGCAATCACAGGTTCAGGCTTCGAGTTTCCATTCTCCCCTGTTGCTTCCGCTTCCCCTAGGTTGTTCTAGGATTAGCGTTGTACAGTGTTTATTCAGTCAATGATGTCAGGATCCTGGCTGAAAAACCATGGTGTGAATCCTGAGAAATGTGAGTGGAAGGATGTTCACTGAAAGGGACTTGCATGGTCGCCCTCCATCATTGTGTCCCCTGAAAAGCCTTTCTGGAGGGACAAGAGCTTCACAGGGAAGAAGGGAATTAGTCCAAATCAGGTGCTTTCACTCACTTTTGGCCAATTTTCCCCTCAGCTGGTACTTGGTGAACTATATGCACACCATTAAAGAGCTTTCCTGGCTTTTCAGAGAAGTTTTGGACTGGGCTTTGGGGACTTAAGGAGAGGACACTGCTGTGCTGTGAGCTTCCTTCCACCCATAGTGCTGGATCCAGGATTTGCCTTCCATGAGAGTAAAGGCTCTACACATGGATGGTCCTGCCACTCAATTTATGGGGACCCTCCCCCTGCAAATTGCAGCTAATTAGAGTTCCCTCAGAAATAAAAGGAAGCTATACGTCTTCACACAACACATAATTAAACTGTGGAATTCACTTCCACAAGATGATGCGATAGCCACTGATCTTGATGGTTTTAAAGGGTGAATGGACACATTTATGGAGGAGAAGGCTATCAATGGCCGCTGGTCCTGATGGCTATACACTGCCTTCAATATCAGAAGCTATATGCCTATGTACATCAGTTGCTGGGCAACATGGGCAGAAGGTTACTGTTGCACTTATGTCCTACTTGTCCATATTCTGTGGGCAGATGTTTGCCCAGCATACAAATGCAATGCTGGATTAGATGGTATCATGACCTAATCCAGCATGGATCTCCTTATGTTCTTATATGTAGAATATGCAGAGGGCTGGAGGGGCTCCCATTGGAAAAGTGGCTGGTGACGTTCAGTTCCAATTAGTTAAATTAGTTCAGTTTAAATTGGAGCACAAACCATAGTTTTTAGAATTCAAGCCCACTGGGCAATTCCCAGATATGAGCCTCACCCCATACTTGCACTGACACCATTTGCTATGCGACATTAAGCTCCCTGCCTTTTTCTTTTTTTCTTTGCTAAATGCTACATAGTTCCAGCGTGGGTGAGCAAATCTTTTTGTTTTGCTTTTGACATTG